TCCTTGCTCTGACAGTTGTTATTGAATATGTTAAAACTGTAATGAAATGCTTCTTCTAATCATGTGGTTATTAAATTTAAAAAAAGAAAAAAGTCTGTAAGTATGTGTTTTCTCTTGTACATGAAAGCTAGCTTTTAAAAATATACATAAACATGAAAACAGAGGGTGACTCTTTAAAGGAGTGGGGCTGGTGGGAGAGGGATGGGAACAAGAGAGCATTGGGGGTGAATATGAACAAAGTGCAAAGTACATGTGTAAAAGTTTCATAAGGATACAGGCAACTTTCTTATATTTTTATTCTATGTGTATAAGTGTATTGCCTACATGTATGTAAGTGCACCTATGTCATGCAATGCCACAGAAGTCCGAAGAGGGTGTTGGATTCCATGACCTCAAACAGTGCCATCCATTGGGGACAAGTACTCAAATATTTGAGTCTTCTTTTTTTTGCCTTCCTGAGACAGGGTCTCCCTGTAGTCCCAGCTGACCTGGAACTCACTATGTAGACCAGGCTGGCCTCAAACTCACAGAGAGCCACCTGCCTCTGCCAGCCAAGTGCTGGGATTAAAGGTGTGTGCCGCCAAGCCCAGCTAAATTAAACTTTTGATATAAATAAAGTTTGTAAATCTGTGAATATTCTCTTCTGCGATTGCTTATAGGGAGAATGTGGTTTTTGTTGTGAAGCTGATTAGATGTTCACCCTCCATTACAGAGTCTACACACACCCTCCCTTCCTCGTTCTGACCGTGATGAATGCTGTGTGTATTCTTCTACAGAAGAAGCCAAACTGGGCGACAGCAAAGCCGCTGCTTTCAGAAACTGGATTCCTAAAGAAACTGGTTAACCTTGACAAGGACAGCATTCCTGATAAGGTAAAAAGTTGATCACTAGTGAATACATGGTTAATCCATTCCATTGTTACAGTCTTTGGGGTTCAATAGAAGTGTTAGAATCCATTCTGAATTAGAAGTGAAAAATTAAAAATTAATTTTAAAAATAACAGAACAAAATATGTTCTGTTATAGTGGTAAAGGCCAGCACCTTACCTCGGCAGGCAGAAGGCGCTTGTCTTCAAGCCTGACAACCCGAGTTCCATTCCCACATGGTGGAAGGTGAGAACGGACTCCTACAAGTTCCCCTCCGACCTCCACATGCATGCCCTGCTAGTGCACATGCACACACACACACACACACACACACACACACACACACAGCAGGATGCTCCCACACAGATTAAGTAAATAACTTTTTTAAAAGGGAGAAAGCAAACTGCATATCCAAACATAATAGGTTTCGTGGAATTGTTAGAACGCCAATATATTCCCTGTAATGGAGAAGACATATTGAACAGCTAATTAGACAGTTAGCTGGCTAGTCACGATGATATGTGCTGCTGGAAAGTACAGGATTTCTTATGAACAAGGTGAATTTTTAGGCAGAATATGAGCATCGATACTCATATTATTCATGAATTGATGTAACAACTCAGTCTCTAAAGAATAATTAGCAAATATGATTCCCTGTGGGGTTTTTTGATAAGCTGACTAGACCTCAATAGATGAACTTGCAATGAGGAACGTCTGGGGACACTAACTTGACACAATAGGCCTTAACACAAATGACAGCACGTATGAATTCCAGTCGGGGGCTATGGGAAGGTGCCTGTGGGGATTGGGGGTTAAAGATGATTAAAACTGAGATGTTCTGTAGGAAATACACAAAAATTCAATAAAATCAAAAAATTTTTAAGTGCATCCTTCAAACTTAAAATAAGAGTTCTTCTAAAGAAATGACCAAAAGACCGCAGCATTTGAATAGGAACATTCTAATTAATAATTATGATTAATAATTAATAGTGCTGGGTTGAGGGTAGACCTGCCCTCTCAATTATTCAGGAAAGTGATTCTGTTCTCCTGGGCAGGTGAGACGATGCCTAACTGGAAAAGGAAAAGGAATCAGCCTGAGAAAGACATCATTCCATTTATATCTCATAAAAGCAGATTAAAAATTCTATACATGGGCTGGAGAGATGGCTCAGTGGTTAAGAGCACTAACTGCTTACAGAGGACCAGGGGGGTTCAATTCCCAGCACCCACATGGCGGCTAACAGCTGTCTGTAACTCCAGTTCCAGGGGATCCAACACCTTCTTCTGACCTCCTCGGACATTGCATGACACTGGTGCACCTACCTACATGCAAGCAATACACCCATACACATTAAATAAAAATAAATTCTTAAAAAATATTTTAATTCTATACATAAACCAGGTGCTTCCATTCAGTCAACAGGGCCACTTGGAGGGACAAGAGGACATAATCACCTCAGATTAGAATGCTCAGGGGATTTAGACCTCCTTACACACCAAATTTTCCTAAGCTAAAGTCCATTTTAAAAGAACTGGCAAAGTTACCACTGACAGATGCTTATAGAGATGCTTTCTCCATCCTGGCCTAGGGCCATTTGAACCCCAGACGTAGCGATAGCTCCTTGACTGTAGTCAAAACAGTAATTATTTTCTTATAGGAATTACTAATTCACCCTAATGTATATTAGAGATAATTTTTCTTGTGTAACATATTCTCTCTAGGTGTTCGTGAAGCTGAAAAGAATTTTAACCTTGTCTGATTTCAACCCGAACAAGATGGCCCTGGTTTCTGTTGCTTGTTGCTCTATGTGCCAGTGGGTTAGAGCTTTGAATAACTACCATGAAGTTCAGAAGGTACAGCGTCCCCTGAATCTGTAATGATGTGGAAGTAACACGCCAGAGTCCAAAGTAATTTTTATCCAACAATTCTCCTGTGAACTTACGTGAGAACAATAGCTACTAAAAGACACTTTGAGACATTCTAAGCCAGTCCACACAGACTTAAAATCGAATGTTCCTATTAAATACTTCTGTGAAAACTATACTACATGTTTGTTTGTTTTAATATTTTTGACCATAATAAACTGCATCCCTTATGAGTATATAGAAAATTCCAGGAAAGTTTATTTTAAAGGTTGATACCTATAAATGAATGTCTGTCAAGTGTAAGCAGTACTTTAACTGGTATGCCTAACTGTTTTGACATTCTCGTTAAGGTGGTGGGACCTAAGCAGGTCCAAGTAGCTGAAGCACAGAACGTCCTTCGAATCGCAAAGCAAAGGTTGGCTGAGAAGCAAAGAGGTTTACAGCTGGTAAGAACTGTTTTTATTTGTTAGAGCCTCAGTACCTTTAAGAACTATATAAAAATGCCAAGAAGCCGTCACCACCTCAGGCAGCTGAGGATGTTGCTAGGTGGCAGAGCACCTGCCTAGAATACACACAGGTCTGAGTTTCAATTCCCAGCTGAAAAAGAAAAAAACATTATGTCAGTAGACCTTATTAATCAAAAATAAAATTGGTGAAAATCATATGGACAGTGAAGGGTGTAATTGTGAGGATTGAGTGAATAACACAGATAAAAGTAAAGTTCTCAGTACCTGCTACATAATGAAGCACTCAGGAATGCTAATTATTACCACCTCATAATACCATTTTACCAATTCTGCCAGGATATCGTTATTACAGTCTATTAAAGACTTAACCAGTGTCTTTGACAGTGATTTGTTTTCTTCTTCTTTTTTTTTTTTTTTTTTTTCAGGATCTTACTGTCAAAAAAGCCCAGGCTGGCCTTGAACTCCTGATCCTCTTGCCTCCGACGTGCTAGGACCCAAACTAGGGTCTTCTTTTTGGTCTTTTTGAGACAGGGTCTCTCTGTATCCCCAGCTGGCCTGGAACTCACTATATAGACCAGACTGGCCTTGAACTCACCTGTTTATCATAGTGCCCCTGGTGCTTTGTAAAGGCATGCTTGCTTCTTAAGTGTCTCATGTTAAATTAAAGCAGGGTGTTATCATGAGAGCTAGACTCAAGCTAGAATGGATGCCATCAGTCCCTGGTACTGACTTAGCCACATTGTGAGAGTGGATGAAGAATGTGATTCAGATGGCAAATGTGTAGGCAAACTGGCCAGTTGATGCCTCTGGGCTTATATAGTCTCCCTTGTACACACACATCTTTTCATAATTATCAACATTTTAAAAATCTGTGGAATTGATTTAAAACACAAGTCCTATCTTCTCTTAAAAACTCAGATGTATCATTTTTACTTGGATGAAATCAGCTCTCAATCCATGTTAGGCATTTATATTGCCTGTCTGGCCCCACAGGCATTTCTTACAAACTCAGATATTATATATATATATTACCCCTCCCTGCCAAACTATTGACAACTGATGAATTCTGAGAGGGGGATAGCCATTGCTTGTAGTTGGGTACCAAACAGTGAGCCCACCAGGCTCCAATGGATAGTTCCAAACCCAATGCCAAACAGCCAATCTTGGTTAAAAGCAGAGTCACAAAACAAATGAAAAAGGCATGGATATGGGGAAAGACCTGGCACTCGGGGAACAGGCGTAGAAGAGAAATAAGTGAGAGTTTATTCAAGGGATATAGATACAGGTTTAGATATATGGATGATATAGGTATATCATGGATGATATAGATAATATGGCATGGAAGTAGGGGTGAGACTTTCTAGGAGTGGTTAGGAAGGAGGAGCAGCATGGAGAAAGGAGAGGGCACAGAGGGGTAAACACATTCAAAGTACATGATATATTTGAATAAAAATGTCTCTATATATCCATCACTATCTGCAATGAATATACACCCATTTTAGAAAAAGAAAATGACTGAAGGAAACAGACACAAATATTAATTTTATTACCCCAGAAGGGGTTAAGATTGGGAACTAAGAATGAAAGGGTAAATGGAAACATTCAGATTTTTATGGGCATGAGTATTTTGCTTTGTAATGGAATTAAAAAACAAAGTAGTACACAGAGCTCCAGCTGTGTGACGGGAGAATATGCCTTTGAGGTGATGAGCTTCTCTGTCTCCAGTCCTAAGACACAGGCCCTACTAACTAGATCAGAGAAATGACTTGGGAGCTTAACAATGTATCCCTTGGGTAAACAAAACATCAGAGTCTTCAGTAGATATAATACTGGACTGAAATTGTGGCTTCATTGGTCTCTAGTTGCATTGCCTGGTTGTCATTTTATGCTGCTGTCGGAAAGCATCCTCTGAGTGCCGCCTCTTCCTGCTTGAATTTGCAGTAGATGTCTATTAATTATCCTCTATTCCCAGGAGAGAACTGTCGGGATGAATAAACTGCTCTCCTATTTTGTCTTCAGCCTGAGTAGGCAACTGTAGCAGAACACGGAGTTCGTAGGTGGTAGATAGCGCTTGGTGATAGATATGGGTCGGGAAGGGCCTGAAGAAAGGGTTCCCAATGCCTCAATTACTACAAAACCTGAAATAAAAACTTACTGAATAGTGTTGTGTTACATTCTTGGCAGAAATAATTAATTGCATAGAGGATATGTCCACATTGTCAAGGCTACAAGATTTGCATTAAATCAGCGCTTACTTCAGTTCATCAATTTACCCATCCATCCATCCGCCATCTACCCATTCATCCATATATACTATATGTATCCACCCAGGCACCTATCCAGTGAGTGTCAGTGCCTCAGCAGTCTGAGTCTATCCAGAGGCAGCAAGTGCACAGCTCCGAGTCTTCAAAAAGGACAATATCCAGAAGTCCAGTGGACCAAGCCCAACCTGCTTCTCAAGTGCAAAACTCATCTGATCAGTACTTGGCTCCATTGGCTCTCTGCCCTTTGTGGAAAACATTCTCCTCACTATTGCATAATTTTTCCATCTCAAATACAGATCTTTTGTCCATCTGGGTCCTAATATAGAAAATATTTCTGAAAATTCTACAGAGCTCTAGCAAATAGGGCTTACTAATCACTGGGCACTCATCAAAACATTACCTTTATACAGTGCAATGCGTATTACAGAGTAAACATCCCTTGTGTTTAATTTTATTGATATGTCTTATACTTTTTTCACAAATATTTTCTTTGAGAATTTCATGCACTGTATTTTGATCATGTTCACCCCAACTTCTCCCTTTAACTCTTCCCAGACCCACCCCCACCTTTCTACCCCCCATCATTATGTCCTCTTTTAAAAAATGAATAACCCATTAACTCTAATTAGTGCTGTCCATATACTTCTGGGTGTGGGACCATCTACTGGAGCATTGTGAATCTACCATGAGCCAGACCCTTGAAGAAAACTGACTCTCCTTCCCCCAGAAGGCATCAACTGTCAGTAGCTCCTCAGCTGGGGAGGGGGAGCTCCTGAACTCATTCTTACTCTGTGCTAGAATGTTGCCTGGCTTGATCTTGTGCAGATAACTACAGTTGCTCTGGTTTCATTAATGCAACAGTCCTGTCATGGCCAGAGGACACCTTCACTCCAGTCCTCCTTGACCTCTGGCTCTTATGATCTTTTTCTTACAAGTCCCCAATTTGGTGATGGTCTCTGAGCCTTGGGACAGAGGGTATGATACAGATGTCCCATTTGTGCTGAGCATTCTATAGTCTCTTATTCTCTGGGCATTGATCGGTCAGAGGTTCTGTGTTAACCATCATCCACTGCACAAAGAGAATACGCTGATGAAGTCTGAGAACTGCTTTAATCTATAGGCACAGAGATATGAATTTAAAGGGCAGTTTGATACTATGTTCATTTAGCAAAATAATAGTAGTAGATTTACCCCCAAGGCCTGTGAGCTCCACAATCATGGGCTCTCAGACAGATTTGCAGTACCAGGCATGTGCTTCCTCCTACAGAGCAGGCCTTAAATCTAATCAGAAAGCAGTTAGTTATGCCAGTAACACTAGTGCCACTCTTGCATCCATGGCTTATCTTGTCACAGTGGTGATTATTATACAGGATTCACAGCTGGATAAGACTGTTGATGACTTTTGTCCCCCAGCAGCCTACATAGCACCTTCCTACACTTGAGAGCCAGCCAGCAGGGAGGAAGCTTCCTGGTCAGTACCAACTGGATTTCTCCATGTCCTGTGACTAAATTCTGTGGTGTCTTCAGCAATAGAGTCTTACATCAAGCTCTTGTAGGCAACCAAGAGCAACAGCAATAGCCTATATTGTTTGGGGAGACTCTGAGACACCACTGACCAACAACTTGAAGGGTGTCCCACACCTGGCACTGGGCTTTTTATTTGGCTTCTGACATGAACATAATCTCCTGTATAGGGTAATTCCAATTAAACTAATATATGTACATACACACACACACACACATACACACACATATGTATATATATGAAGCTTATAAAATAGTAGGTTCCCGTATGGCTTCACAACTTTTTTAAACATCCTTCAAGTTAGTTATCCCTCTTCCAGCTCCCCCTCTGCCCTACCCTCCTGTTCTCTTCATTTAGACATCCCTCCCCATTATTCCTCTTTTCCCTTCATATCACCTGTGTTCTACTACCATCCTTAAGATATTTCTTCCCCCTCCCCACCAAAGGTTCCTTTCTAGTTTCCTGTATTTGGCACATACTCCAAATTAAACACACAACTCTAAACAGTCAATGTAAGATCCACATATGGATAAGAAAATGTAACATTTGTCTTTCTGGTTCTAGGTTACCTCACTCAGTATAATATTTTCCAGTTCCATCCATTTAACCACAAATTTCATGATTTTGTTTTTTCTTTACTGGTGAATAAAATTAAATTGTGTATAGATACCACATTTTCAGTATCCATTCATCAGTTGATAAACATCTAGGCTGTTTCATGAGGAACGTGGATGAGCATGTGTCTCTATAGTAGGACACAGAGTCCTTTGGATACACCCTGTACTTTAAATGACTAGGCCATGAGTAGTAAGAAAAGTAGAAGGCCATTAGTCCTAAGCAGAGTGAAAGCAGGAAGTGAGCAAGCAAAACCAGTATGTAAACAATGCATAAAACTGTAAACAAATGAATGAATAATTATTATGGGTAATCCAGGAATAAGTGCTAAATCAGGACAAAGCAACAGACACTGGTGATAGAAATAGAGAGGAAATGCAGGGCTTCGGTTTGGTTTGGTTTGGTTTGGGGTTTCAGGGATTTTTTTTTTTTTTGTCATGCTGGGGATCAAACCCACAGCCTCACACTCATGTTAGGCAAGTACTATTACCACTGAGCTATAACCTCAATAATTACATATTTAACTTTTACATATATATATGTAAAAGTTAAATATATATTTTCAGAAAGATAACATCTTTTTTTTATTTATTTATTTTTTTTTTTTTTTTGGGGGTTTTTGGAAAGGGTCTTTCTCTAGCCCCAGCTGGCCTGGAACTCACTATGTAGACCAGGCTGGCCTCAAACTCACAGAGATCTGCCTGCCTCTGCCTTCCAAGTGCTGGGATTACAGATGTGCACCACCACACCTAGCCAGATAACATCTTAAAATTACAAATTGCAGTAAGTAAAATTCTATCTATACAATTTTTTTTTTTCAAGTTACCCTGCTAAAACCTCTGGTTAGCTTTGCTTTCTTTTTTTCAAAAACCTGGCATAATCAAATTAAGAAAAAGGGATTGTTCTGATTGCAGTTCGGCCCTGTTGCTTTTGGCCTGTGGTGTAGTGCGTCATGGTGGCCTGAGGCCTGTTCACTTCATGGTGGCTGGGAAGCCAGAGAGAGATGGGAAAGGTCTAGAGTCCTGAGACCCCCCCTGCCCCTTTAAAGAACATGCTCCCTAGGGCTCACCTGCCGCAGGTTCTGCCATGTCCTAACAGTGCCAGAGGTTGTAGAACAGTACCTCAGCCTTGGGGGACGTTTCATATCAAACCACACTCCAGCTGTCTATGAAAGTTTGTTTCCTGTGGGTAATTTATGGCATCACCTCAGACTTCATTCCTCTGTGCTAACTTCAAGAATCCCCTCATTCCTCAGGTCTGCTCATTGTATTTGAAGGGAAAATTTTAAACCATTTTCTCTCTCTTATTCTTTTTTTTTGAGACAGAGTCTCGTGTACCTTGAGGTGCACTCTCCTTATAGTGGAAGATGATCTGCAGTTCCTCATCCTCCTTCCTCTACCTCTTGAGTGCTGGAATTATAGGTATGTGTGCCAGTGTAACTGGTTTTATGCAGTGTCAGGGATGAATCCTAGATCCTCTTGATTGTTAGGTAGATGCCTTCCCACTGAGCTACATCCCTAGCCCTCAACCATTTTCTTAGAGAAAGAATTCAGATATGGAATTTTCTTTGTGAATAAATAAATTAGAAAATGATGGCTTTTCAAATGCCTAAGGATTACAAGAAGGGACTGCAAGACAAGGGCATTGTACAATACTTCAGGATTGAGGGAAACATTTCATTTCTACAGTGTATATTTTCATTGATCATGTAATCCACACAGGAGAATCTTCTAGGATGTGAAAATGAAGCGATCACACACCATAGTGAGGTAAGTGACAGATAAACTCTTGAAGCCAAATAAGAATGAGAACTTTTTTTCTCAATAATGTCTTTCAGATTGAAGAACATTTGCAATTTTTACACACATCCTACAAAGATACCATTGCTGAAAAAGAGCTATTAGCAAATCGGAAAAAACTGGCCACCAAGCGTCTGCAGTGCGCATCCATCCTGCTGACTGTCCTGGAGGATGAGAAGGCATGGCTTCCCTGGCTCCCACCTCCTCTACTAACGCTTCCCTGGCTCCCACCTCCTCTACTAAGGCTTCCCTGGTTCTGCCTCCTTTACTAAGGCTCCCCTGGCTCCCACCTCCTCTACTAAGGCTCCCCTGGTTCTACCTCCTTTACTAAGGCTTCCCTGGCTCCCACCTCCTTTACTAAGGCTTCCCTGGCTCTACTTCCTCTACTAAGGCTCCCCTGGCTCCCACCTCCTCTACTAAGGCTCCCCTGGTTCTACCTCCTTTACTAAGGCTTCCCTGGCTCTACTTCCTCTACTAAGGCTTCCCTGGTTCCCACCTCCTCTACTAAGGCTTTCCTGGCTCCCATCTCCTCTACTAAGGCTTTCCTGGCTCCCATCTCCTCTACTAAGTCTTCCCTGGCTCCCACCTCCTCTACTAAGTCTCCCCTGGCTCCCACCTCCTTTACTAAGGCTTCCCTGGCTCCCACCTCCTCTACTAAGACCTCCCTGGCTCCTACCTCCTTTACCAGTTCCCACAGGATTCAGCAGACCCCAACTGAGACATCACTGTGCTTTTATCACATTCCTCCCAAAACTGCCTTATCTTCAACTTCTATCAAGAGCTAGAGAAAATCCTCCTCCCATAAACAAAGGAATCCTGGGGCTCTTTTCTCTTGTTCCTAAGAATATTTTTGTCCCATGAGGCTCGAAGGAAACCTTCCAGAGACTAAGTCATGAGTTTTTTCTTCCCCAACCCATACTGGATGTGAGAGTAGGAACAGTAGGGAGGAGCCGTCATTAGAAGGAAAATGAAGACTTAACTTTGTTCTGCTAATCTTCTGACCCCTTTTATTTCATTTTTAAATTTCTCTAATTCATCTGTGTTCTCTATATTTGAATCCCTGGTAAGCTGGCTAAAATCTTGGTTTAGTTACGCCTCACCTGTCCCAAAGGATATGCTATAACATTAATTCATTTTAATTGTTTAAATAAATATATATCCTGGAAGACTCTTCCAGGACAGGGACAGGTTATGATATGAAATCATAACAAACAGGGAGACTGCGGACCTCAAAGCTTGATTGCTGTCCCTGAGAGCCAAGTGCATGCTGAGAGACAGGAGTGCATTATTCCTAGGCTAAGCTCTAGAAGACTGAGCTTTGTTTACCGGGATTTATTCAGTGACCAAGCAAGCACGTGCATGATCGAAGAGAGGCGATACAGTCAGAGGATGCCGTCCACCCAATCAAGGACATGCATGAGCGAAGAGAGGCGATGCAGTCAGAGGATGCCGTCCACCCAATCAAGCACGTGCATGAGCGAAGAGAGGCGATGCAGTCAGAGGATGCTGTCCACCCTATCGAGCACGTGCATGAGCGACCAGTACAGATGCAGTCAGAGGATGCCGTCCACCCAATCAAGGACGTGCATGAGCGAAGAGAGGCGATGCAGTCAGAGGATGCCGTCCACCCAATCAAGGACGTGCATGAGCGAAGAGAGGCGATGCAGTCAGAGGATGCCGTCCACCCAATCAAGGACGTGCATGAGCGAAGAGAGGCGATGCAGTCAGAGGATGCCGTCCACGTCCCAGCTACACCTTGACTTTCTCTGCACTTCAGTTGCTTCATGTGAACATGAAGTCAGTGGCATTTTATTAACAGGGATGCCGTCCACCCAATCAAGGACGTGCATGATCGAAGAGAGGCGATGCAGTCAGAGGATGCCGTCCACGTCCCAGCTACACCTTGACTTTCTCTGCACTTCAGTTGCTTCATGTGAACATGAAGTCAGTGGCATTTTATTAACAGGATGGTGAAGTGTAAAGATTTTCAAAGTGGTGGAAGCTTCGGCAGATACTGAAAGTTGTTGCTGTGTTGTTGAGCTTCCATAATAATGTGATGAATTGATTTGGGTTGTTTGAGACAGAATCTCACTATGTACCTCAAGCTGGCCTTGAAGTCGTCAGGCCCCAAATACTAAAATCTTAGGCATGCACCACCACACCTGGCTTGAACTGATGCTTTTAAAGCTCTCCTGCTCTCTTGCACAAAGGATTGAAAATGACCATGTATCTATCTTAGCAAACATGACACCATTGACAAAACCAAGATAAGACTAGTTTTCCTCTTAGAAAATGGTTCTTTGGGGTAAAGGGAGGAGATTTTTGTCATCTGTTCACTTTTGTTTCAAAGCTAATCAAATTCTTTTGTCTTCTCTAAACAAGATTTTCTTTGGATTTCACTAAGAAATTGGATTGTAAATGGCTTTAGAAGGAATGTGATGGTGAAGTTCATCTTGGGGGCTCTGTAGCCCCAGCTGACCTGGACCTTGCCATGTAGTCCAGGCTGGCCTTGAAGTGATGGCAATCCTCCTGCTTCGGCCTCCTGAGTCCTGAGATTGCAGACATGTGCCAGCACACCTAGCCAGGTCAATTTTAAATGTTACCAGTTTTAGTCAACGGTAGCTTGAGAAGAAGTAATAAGCAATGATAGACCCAACTTAGAGACCATTAATTTTTAAAATACCTCATAACGTTGGACCAGAGAGATGGCAACACAAGCAAGTGAGGGCCTGGGTTTGGATCCTCAGCACCTATGTACAAGGGCATCTGAAACCCCAGCGCTGGAAGGAGGAGATGTGTAGCTCCCAGAAGCTTGCTGACCAACTAGTCTAGCCCTTGTGGGTGAACTCCAGGTTCAGTGAGAAAGTCTGTCCCCAAAAAATAAGGTGGAAGGGAGCAGGTAAGAGTGCTTGCTACACAAGCATGAGGATGTAAGTTCAAATCCCCAGCAGTCATGTAAAAAGCTGGGCATCGCCATGCTGCATTACTTATAACCCTATCACTATGGGGGCAAAGACAGGAGGGTTGCTGGGGGTTCTGGCTGCTAGCCTTGCTCTGGATTCAGTGAGAGACTCTTATCTCAGGGGAATAAGGTGAAGAGTGACAGAGCAGGACACAGTATTGACCTCTGGTTTCTACACATGCACATGTGGGGGAGCGTACCCACATGCACACATACACCCCACACACACACACAAACACACGCACATAAAAACTTCATAATATCTAGCCAGGCCTGGTGGCACCTGACTTTAATCCCAGCACTCATGAGGCAGAGGCAGGTGGATCTCTGAGTCTGAGACTAGCCTGGTCTACATAGGAAGTTTCAGGCCAGCCAAGGCTACAGGGAGACCCTGTCTCAAAAAGATTTTTTTTTAATTTTTTTCATCGTATCAACTTAATAAACTGGCTTTTGTTTTAACATTTAGATTCGATGGCAGGAAACAATCCACCAAATAGACAACAAGTTGGAAGGAGTCTTTGGTGACATACTTCTTTCAGCAGCGTGCATTGTCTACAGTGGAGTCTTAACACCGGAATTCCGCCAGTTGATTATAAATAAATGGGAGAGTTTTTGCGTTGAAAACAGAATTTCTTTGTCATCCAAATTCTCCTTAATTGAAGTGATGGCAGAGAAAAATGAGGTAGTACCATACGTCTGTTATGTGGCTGTTATTGGTGGTTGGGTTTGGGGAGTGTGTGTAGTTTGGGACTTGGATGTTTTCCCCTAAATTATTATGACAAATGACAATATTGAAGTTTTTCAGCCTTTTCTTTCTTTTTAAACTTACAGACCTAATGCCATCTCATTCCTGTTTCTTATCCTTTAAGCACAATTTATGAAATGTTATTTTTCCCACTGTGATCACACTACCCTGTCCTAATATGTATAGGTAGTTTCTCTTCCTGAAACTCCTTTCATTAAGTAAAATTAGTGTACTTATTGAAGTGTCAGTCTTAGCCATAGCCCAAAACATAGGCCTACATGGGGAGATGACTCAGTGGTTAAATGTGCACGCTAGTCTTGCAGAGGAACCAAGTTTAATTTCCTAGCACCCATGTCAGACCATCTCCTGTAACTCCAGCTCCAGGAGATGCAGAGTCCTCCTCAGGCCTCTGAGGGCACCTGCACTCATATGCACAAACCCTACACACAGACACATATGCATAACACATAATTAAAAATAAAAATAAATCTTTTTCTTTAAGTCTAGAATTGGGCCTAAAGAGCTGGCTCAGTGATTAAGAGCACTGGCTGCTCTTGCAGAGGACCTGGGTTCAGTTCCTAGCACCCACAGCAGATGGGTCACAACTGCCTGTATCTCATCTGGTTCGGTTCCCAACACCCACACCAGAAGGCTCATGGCTACCTGTAACTCTAGTTTCAGGCATCCAAAACCCCCTGGCTTCCACAGCACCTGGACAAACATGGTACATAGACACTCATGTAGGCACACACACCTATACAGAAAGAGAAATAATAAGGGCACTGGCTGCTTTTGCAGAGGACCCAGGTTCAGTTCCAAGCACCCACATGGTAGCTAACAACCATCTGTAACTCTAGTTCCAGGGGCTCCAATGGCCCTCTTCTGATCTCCACAGACATTGTATGACACAGGTATATTTACATATGTGCAGGCAATGCACTCATACACATAAAATAAAAATAATAAATATTTTAAATAATAAGTCTAAAATTGTAAGACCATATAATAGTATACACCAAAGCAGAAAACAGAAGTCATGTGTTCTATGAAAGAACACATCTAGGGCTGGAGAGATAGTGCAGCAGTTAGGAACACTGACTGTTCTTGCAGAAGACCCGGGTTCGAATCCCAGCACCCACATGGCAGCTAACTGTCTATAACTCCAGTTCCAGGGGATCCGACGGCCTCTTCTGTCCTCTGTGGTTACTGCACAACACGGGTGCACTTACCTACATGCAAGCAATACACGCATACACATAAAAATAAAAATAATAAAATATTTTTTAAAAAAGAACACATCTAAAAACAGTAGAATTGAGAATAAAATATAGGAGAAAGTTTATCATCAATTACAAATAAAGATTGAAAAATAGTCTATAGTCCAAGAAAGGATTACTAGAATTAAATAAACTTTATACTAAGCATTGACTTGATTCTCCATATCTATATTAACTTGTACCTAATAACATGACCTCAAATTTTAAGCAAATACTTAAAAACCTACAATCACAGTGAAAGATTTTTTATATATATATTTTAAGCTCAAGGAAATTTTATTAGAGTTTAAAATAAAACCCCCAGGGCAGACAGGCTGTAAATCTGAGCAGCTGCCTGGAGGAGGAGAACAGAAGAGAGAAGGAAAAAAGCCATGCCATTTGAGCCAGCATGGAGGTCAGACACATGGTGGACTAGCAGCTACATGGCAGGGAGAGGAGCTTTGCAGGAAGAGTAAAGAATCCCAAGGTGCTAGGAAAAGCATGCTTAGAAAAGAGATGGAAAGAAAAGGAGCAGTTACATTTTTCTGAAGAATTTGGAAAAGTAGGCAGACTTAAAAAGCTGCATGACTATGGCCCAGTAAGTGCCACAATCAATGACACAGTGTAACACCTTTCTTTCTGTAACTCATAGACCACGTGCACCAAAAAATTCAGCAAAAGTACAAGAGATGTGACCAATAGACAGACTTGAGGGGGGTGGGGATATAGATACGGTAGCCAGTATTTCCAGCTGACATCTTTTTGTGTAACCACTATTAGAGTATTGTGCAACCTGCCCCCACAATGAGTCATGAATCAAGCTTTAACAAATATCAAATGGTAGAAGTTAAAAGTATCTTATGTGAAGAAACTTATGCTACAAGTCAATAATTAAAAGACATTTTGAAAAATCATCCTATGATTAAAAGTTAGAAACTATCTTCTGCCAAATATGGTGGCACACGCCTTTACTCCCAGCACTCGGGAGGCAGAGGCAGGTGGATCTCTGTGAGTTCAAGGCTAGCCTGGTCTACATAGTGAGTTCCAGGCCAGCTGGAGCTACAGGGAGACCCTGTCTCAACAAAACAAAACAAAAAAGGCTACAAAGATAAGGCAGAATCCGATTATTACTTTATTTGTTATGGGTATTTTCAAGAATCTATCCAGAACAGAAAAGGAACTACTAGAAGTCCGTGAGCAAAAGTGATACAACCCAGTGGATTGACGAGCAGGAGCCGTGGACAGGCAGCTCACAAAAGGCAATAGCCAAGCAGCCAATAAACATCTTTAGGTGCTGAGCTTTGTTAAGAGGCTCACTAGGGGACTGAAAATTAAGTCCAAATGAGATAGCACAGAGCAGCTACCACTGTGAGAAAGATGCAAAAGACTAGCATGGCAGTATCCAAGTTAGCAAGGGTGTGCAGACAGACACTCTCACAACTGCTGTGAGAATGTACAGTGCTACAATTACTGTTTACATTGATGTTAGGATCTATATAGCCTATGACCCAACACTCAACTCCTAGTATTTAGCCTAAAAGAAATGTATAAAAGCTTAGCATGGTAGTACACACCTATAATCCCAGTGCATGGAAGACAGAGGCAGGAAGATTATAAATTCAAGCCTGGGATTCTTAGCAGCACTCTAAACAGAAAAAAAAGTCAGAGAGAAAGAGAAGCGTTCACAACTGGACGTGTCAGGGATGTTCACTGTTTACTGTTTATTACAGCATTATTCATTCCAGGCAAAAGCTTAAAACAACCCATGTGCCCTTGAGTAAGTAAGCCTTGACATGTTCATAGAGTAGAGTACTCTGTAGCTATGAAAAGGAATAATAACAGCTCACAGCACGATGAAGTCAAACGCTACAAAATCATCAAGATTCCATTTACCTAAACTTCAGAAAGTAAGAAAACAGAATGATACTGTTTACAAATACATAGGTAAGGTGAAACTGGCATTGAGTGAGAATGATTAATTTTTGAAAAAAGAAATTCTACTTGGTGACTGGGCTGGAGAGTTGACTTGCTGCCACACCGTTTATTCCTGTCTCCTTGGCAGATCACGAGGCAGTCTCCACCCAACAATAGGAGTACTTGCACTTTTCTGGATTTTTCTTTTTTTTTTTTTAATGTAGAACTCAACAGCATGCAGTTCTTGATAGGCTAACCCACACACAAAAGAAAGACCTTTTCTTCCATTCTAGAACTAAAAAGTCTCCTTGGCTTCTCCCAGGTCTTGGGCCCTTCCTCCAGGAAGGTCCTTGCTGCCTGTTCCATCATCTCTTGCCTCCACAGGCTTCTTTGGCCTTTTTTGCTCAACACACTGAAACTGTCAGGAAAAAGAGTCAGGAAAAGAGAGGCCATGGAAAGAGAGAGTCAGCTCCTCAGCCAAACCCTATCGTGCCTCGCATTCTGAAAGTGTGACAATTGGCATGTCCCTGACCTGTCAGCCTCGGTTTCTCCAACTGAGAAATGTTGCAATTTCACTGGATAATAAATATGTGTGCTTGGAAGGTGACAGGTATGAAATAGTAGCTATTACCATGTTTTAATATTATTTTTATTTTATTGTATGAGTGTTTCACCTGCATGTATGTGAATGCACCACATGCGTCCAGTGCCCACAGAAGCCAGAAAAGGGTGTCAGATCCCCTGGAACTGGAGTTACAGATGGTTGTTAGCTGCCATGTGGGTACTGGGAACTGAACCCAGGTCCTCTGCCAGAGTATCCATTGCTCTTGACTGCTGAGCCATCTCTCCAGCATCTGCTATTGCTTTTATGTAGATCTGCATGTTTCATAAATGCATAGAGTCTAAGGGCCTTGGAAACAAGTCCTCTAATTTCTTTTCTGTTTCCACGGTATCTTCAATTACCATAGCAAATTTCCTTAGTCCTAAAGGCAATGATGGTGTAGGACGTTCAGAGCCCCGTGCAGCACTAAGAATTTGCAAAAGTACACAAAATAGTGAAAACTCTAGTGTTTCATTCCAGATCCACCAGTGGCATAATCAGGGACTGCCTCTAGGTCAGTACTCAACAGAAAATGCCATCTTGATGAAAAGCGCCCAGCAGTGGCCTCTGGTGATCGACCCACACAAGCAAGCACACCACTTTATCCATCAGATGGAAGGACCCAGGCTGCAAGAGCTCTCCATTGAAGACAGCAGTTATCCCCAAAAGCTTGAAAATGCCATGAAAATGGGAACGTCCGTCCTCTTGCAGGTATCTGGATGCTGTGGCCAAATGCTGCCTTCCTACCACATTCTGTGTGGTGTACACTGAGCATGAAGACTGAAAGTTTAAAGTGACCGGTATCTTTGTCAAACAAAAACTACATATATAATTACATATACTACATATATAATTACATAATTATATATATTACATATATAATTACATATCTTTGTCAAACAAAAACTACATATATAATTACAGTTCTCTGAGAACTGTCTTTCACTGGTGTTTAAAATGTGTCTTTGCTACTGACTGACTTAAGATGATTTTCTTATTTATGTCTGTTGGATTTTTTTCAGCATGTCCCTGAATCATTTCCCCCAGGCCTAAAGGCAGTTTTGAAAAAGGATATCTTTCAGAAGAGAGGGCAGTATTTCATAAGAATTGATGATTCTGAGATTGAATACAATGTAAAGTTCAGGTAATGCCTCTCATAGTCAAATTGAGATACATGTCATATTTTTAAGATAAATAATATTGAAGGCCTTGCAGTCTCACCCTGATGAATGTCTTCCTGAGGAAAAGCTGTAACTGCGTTGTTGAAGATCCTTTTTGTGTTTTGTGGGCTGCATCTGTCACCCATGTTCTAAGGAAAATGGGTTTTACCAGTGTTGTCAGACTGCTTCTGATATAGCCCAGGGCTGTGCAGGGAGGCAAAAGTCAAGAAACATGCTCACTTGGTACTGAGGATTTGATTTGATTCCCTTACCCAAAACCCATTTGAGCGCAACAAGTTTGGCCACTTAAAAAAAAATCCAGGAGTGAGATGGCTCCGTCAGTACATGCTGGCAGTGCAAGCAGAGACCTGAGTTCAGAACAGCCATGTAACACGCCAGGTGTGGTGCACCTGCTTGTAATCTCAGTGCTGGGGAGGCAGAGACAGGCAGACCCTTGGAGTTCAGTGGTCCACCATCTTAGCCCAATGGGTGAGTTCCAGAATCAGTGAGACCTTGTCTCAAAAAGTGAGGTGGGGGATGGAGAGGTGGCTCAGTGGTTAAGAGCACTGACTGCTCTTGTAGAGGACCCAGGTTCGATTCCCAGAACCCACATGGTGGCTACAAACCGTCCTTAACTCCAGTTCGAGGGGAATCTGAAGCCCTCTTCTGATCTCCAGCGGCATTGCATGACAGGGTGCACTCACATACATGCAGGCCATACACTCATACACATTTAAAAAAAAAAAAAAAAAAAAAGCTAGTTAACAATTGACAATTGTCACTAACACTCACTCAATACACAGTGCCTGGAGGCCACACACTCACACACACACACACACACACACACACACACACAAATATCCATGTTTAATATTCAAAGCAAAAATTTTGCCAAGAGAGGTAGAAGTGCTTCAAGGAAAAGTGGAGCTCCCTGACAGCAACAGAGGCTTTCTTGCCTTAAGTGTACAATAACCCAGGGGGCCAAGGTCCCAGACTACCAACCCCCACCATTGCCACCCCAGGCCAGTGGGCTTCCAGGTCCTTCGTGAAGAAGAAATCTTTGATCTTTAATATTCAAAGCAAAAATTTTGCCAAGAGAGGTAGAAGTGCTTCAAGGAAAAGTGGAGCTCCCTGACAGCAACAGAGGCTTTCTTGCCTTAAGTGTACAATAACCCAGGGGGCCAAGGTCCCAGACTACCAACCCCCACCATTGCCACCCCAGGCCAGTGGGCTTCCAGGTCCTTCGTGAAGAAGAAATCTTTGATCCTGAATGCTCTTTGTGAGGTTGTGCAATTGATTACAGTCCCTGTTGGCTTTCCTGGAAGGTGTGTCTCACAGCTCCCCACTCCTACTCTAACATGACTCAATCTCAATCACTGGGCACTCCCTGGACCAGAGTCCTGCATGGCTGACCCTCCTCATAAGGGGGAATCCCATCCTGCGCCTGCCTGAGATGGCCCACCTCTTACCTCCAACTCTTACTCCAAACCCCTTTCCCCTCCCCAGAGAGAAAAGTATAAAAACCCTGTGTCTGTAAGGAAGGTCACTGTTGTCTGGGTCCCAGGCCGTGAGGAGGGCCCCTCTCGGACTTACTCTCTAAGACATCGGCTTTGACTCCACAGAGGTGGGTTTCTGACTGCCTCCCGCTTTCCATTTCTTTACACTTTGTTTCTCAGAATCAGACATTTTACGGGCAGCAGGAAGAGGGAGTTTTAGAGCGCAGTTTATTGTAGGTTCATAGGTGAGAGCTTGAGACAGGAGGCAAACAGCTCCTGAACAGCAAGAGAGTCCCGAAGGTGGGCTGTCATCAGGGGTCCTATCATTAACAAGGCTTTTCTGGGTTGGGGCATTGGGAAGGGAGTGCCTCAGCCCAGCTATCGGGCCCACAGGGTGTTCTTGAGCCTAGGTTTGGGCCACTCCCCCACGCAGGGCTTCCTGGAGGCTGTGCTCCTTCTGGCTGCTGCTTAACTGTGGACAGATAAGAAGCCAGAATAGGAACCAGCGCCCTTTAGGGGAACACTTTGGGCAATTCTGGCCTCTGGCCAGAAGGAAAATGCCATAGATAGAATCAAGGACAAGAATCTCAACTGCTCCCTTTTGAGGTCTCTGGCCCAGATTGCCTGACCCACCTGCAGAAGCCACGCCCTCCAGCCAATTTCACCATCCATAATAGCATTTGATTGCCACAGAAATACAACTTCCTAGGAAAGAAGCCATCTATCTGGGTTGTTTGAGAGCATTATCACACTGAAAGCAAAGCCAGGAAAGTGAGTTCACAGTCAGAGCCTGCTGAGTAAGGGATTCCAGGAGGGCGGGCTTCAGGATCCCTGTCCCAGCTGGCCTGAAACTCACTATGTAGACCAGGCTGGCCTGGATCTTACAGAGATCCAACTGTCTCCGCCTTCTGAGTGCTGAGATTAAGGGCGTGGGCCACTATGCCCGGCTCCAGTCACTTCAAGCAACTGTGGCCTACTGATTCCCAAAAGGGGTATGTTTGAAAAGGTGGGGAGGGGCGCTGTTTTGGAAGACAGACTTGGAGACAGACCCCCACTTACATTTTCTGGCCACACCTCAGCTTCAGCTCTGCCTTTCTAAAATGGAGTGGAGAACGCCCCTACTTTACTTGGTTGCTGTAAAAATAAGAGGATCCACAATCTGATTCCTCCTCACTGCTACCCCGGTTACCACGTGCTCCAAACCACCATCATCCCTCACATTTCAGCGGGTTTCCAGCTCTTCCCTCCCCTCTGCCCAGCTAGTCTCCAGCTGCAGCATCCAGTTGAAACAGCTGCACTGCTCTGCTTAAACCCCCACTGCCTTGCTCTCAGGGTAAAACCCAGCCCTCGAAACGACCGCCTAGCAAGTCAAAACTCGATGACTTACTATTTTTCTTTACTCTGCCATTATGCTTAAATCAAATCTCATAAAGATACAATTTTTGGCCATATTTTTTAAAGACTTAAATACAAAATTATTCATATAGTTTAAACCAAGAGCAATCTTTGTCCACAAAGCTGAAAACACTACAAATTAATCTTGTTTATTTCCAGGAAAATACATTTTTTGCATTATTTAAACATTTGCCTTAACATGTTTTCTTCTGTGTGTTCTTTGAGTAAGTGATGCCTTTCTCATTTTTCAGATTGTACTTATCTACAGAACTAGAAAATCCCCATTTTCTTCCATCAGTTTATAGCTTTGTTACTATGGTCAGCTTCACGGTAACATTCCAAGGCTTGCAAGATCAGCTCTTATCCACAGTAGTAAGTCATGAAGTTCCTCATTTAGAAAATCAACGTGCTCAGTTACTGGAGAGTATTTCTCTTGACTCTATAACTCTTGAAGAACTGGAGGAAAAAACATTGAGCTTACTCCAGAAAGCACAAGGTGAGAAAAGATAGTTAATGATACAAAGAGATTGATATGAAAGTTAGAAGAAAAAATTCTATTTAAATTAAATAAATTATATGATTATAATATATAAATTATACATGTTGTATTTAGAACAAGGGGGCTGGGGATTAAACCCAGGTCTTGGGTATGCTAGGCAAATACACTGACTATATCCCCAACTCATATGACTAAATGGTCAAAATGTATTCTTCATGATGGAATAGTTACTTATTATGTGCCTATGACAAAAATAGAATTTAAAAACAAATTAAGCAGTTGGCATGCTAAGACGGTCAGGGTGAATGTCATGGGGTCCCACTGAGAGATGAAGAGCTACAGGAAAATCAATGGATGCTGAGGAAGGGAGAGCGAATTCTCTCCATGGACCAGCTCCCTGAGAGGTGATCCCACATGGTGGATGGTCCTAAACAGAGGGACAGACAAGCACCGCTTCATGGACTGGACTCAGTGCATACATGTATCAGTGTATACTGAACAATAATAAAGAAGTGGACACAAAACTGAGAGGGACTTGGTGGGACATGGGAGGAGTTGGAGGGGGTGGAGGGGGACTAGGAGGGGTGGAAATAATGCAAAGACAATACTCAGGTATGAACTCTCAAAAATAAAAAATTTTAAATAAATGAAGTAAAAAGGGAGGCCTGAAGAGATGGCTCATCAGTTAAGAGCACTTACTGTTCTTGCAGTAGACCAGGGTTCAATTCCCAGCATCCACATGGGAATTGAATCCAGCCACTTCCAAGGAATTCATTACCCTGTTCTGGCCTCTGCAGGCACTGCACAATGTGATGTACTTACATACATGCAGGCAAAACACTCCTATAGACAAAAGAAAAATTAAATCTTTTTTAAAAAGAAGGGAGAGAGGGAGGGAGAAAGAAAGAAAAGAAAGAAGGGATAGAGAGAAAGAAAGGAAAGAAAAAGAGTCAAAAGTGGGGCCTGTGTGCTTTTAATCAAAATTCTTAGAAATAAGTCCTATATTCATTTAAAAACCCATCTGGGTGACTCTTCCTTTAAAGAGTCCACACCTACACTTGGGTCTGTCTTCACTTTCTTCTGAGCACCTTTTTCTTCTAACCGTCATGCTAAGCCTATATTTAAAAAAGAAAAGAAAAGAAAAAGAAAAAAACCTCCAACTCTGGTTTACTATTTAAAAACACAAAAGCCTGGGCTGGGGAGATGGTTCGACCATTAAATACACTGGCTGCTCTTGCATAGGACGTGGTTTGGTTCCCAGCACCCACATGGAGGCTGACAACCATCCATAGCTCCAGTTCCAGGGGATCTGACGTCCTTTTCTGGGCTCCACAGGAATTGCATGCACCTGGTGCACTTAGGTTCATGCAAGCAAAACATTCATACCTATAAATAAACAAGCAAGCAAACTATCTGGACATAAAACCAATTAAAAAGCCCAAAACACTTACAGAAAGAGTACAGAATTGAAATTAGCTACTTGATATTATAACAATTTTATTTAAATTCATTTTCTTGTCTTTAGGATGTATATTAGATGATGAAGAAATTGTAGAAACATTAAGAAAATCCAAAATGACTTCAAATGAAATTTCAATACGCATCAAAGAAACAGAAAAGGCAGAGAGTGGAATTCAAGCAACACGTCAAAGCTACCTCCCCATTGCCACTCGGGGCACCCTGCTCTACTTTGTAGTGACCAGCCTTACACAAGTCGACTTTATGTACCAGTTCTCCTTGGAGTGGTTTCGTCAGGTTTTTGTTTTATCTACAACTTCCAAAAACAAAGAACAAGAACATGATTTGAAAAGGGATGAAGCATCACTAAAAAAAGTTTATAAGCTAACAGGTGTCTCAAAACAACCTGACTTGGAAAGTGAGAAAAATCCCTCAGCTGAGCATATTAAAAATACAATAAATACATTGACAAGAAACGTTTTTAAGGTAAGATATTCTTTACTGTGGCTTTCTCAGGTATTTAACTTGGCTGGGTTCATCTAATGGTTGTGTTTTCCTGTAGGTAGTTTCTTCAGCTTTATTTAATCAACATAAACTTTGCTTCTCCTTCCGGCTTTGCACGGCAATCATGCAAGACAACACTAACGACAATGTCTCGGGCAGCGACATTGGATTCCTGCCAGAAGAAGAATGGAACATCTTTTTATATTCTGGCATTTTGATAAATATTAAAAGCATACTATCCAAGCCTAGACTTAATAGTAAGTAAAACTCATTTCACTGGATATAGTAAAAGCCCACTAAAATGTCTTTCCTTTTAAAATACTAGAAGACTTCTGCAGTGCTGAGTGAGTGCTTCTTTAATTGATAAAAGTATCTTGAGGTCAAATACAATGTCAGGTGCGTCAGTGTTTGCTCTGTATTGTTGAAAATGCAATCAGCACTCAGTTGAGTTTTTCTGTTTTGTTAGTTTGGGGATTTGGACTTTTTTGAGAAAACATCTCACTTTGTAGCCAGGATCCTCCTAAGTGTGGAGATTGCAGTTATGTGCCACTAAGCCCAGCTCAACAATTTTTAATGAATGAAAGAATGAATTACAATTGGTGTGGTTATGGCGATCCTACTCTAAAGCAGGATATCTAACGGGAACACACAGACACCAGGACTTTCCCAGCCTTAGTTCCCCTCATTTTCTATTGAAACCTTGAGCCATAAAGGTGCCGATCTAAAACACTCAGACAGAATCACTTAACTACTGGATCTTTTAAACTACTCCTGTGTGGTGATTTAAACTTTTTTTTACATCTTTATAATTTTACATATACATTTAGGTGGCATTAAGTATATCCACACTGTTATGCTATATTATACATTTTAAGTCACAGAAATAAGAAATTTAAAGAACACCTAACATTCACACTGTTAGAGGAAGACGGTAGTGTGGATTAGTGTCAAGTATTTGGGAACTACTAGCAATTCTAGAATTCAGAGTATAAACATAAAGAGTTACTATGAAGTGTACCAGAAATATGGCTACTTAACTTTTTTCACTTGTTTTTGGTCTTACTACCGCAGAATGCTTTGTGAACATTTGATAAATGACTACTGAATCAATGAATGATCTTATGGGGATTTATTATGATTCTTTTGTATAAAAACAGAAATGCTATAACAGTAGTTTAAATGAAAAGTAAAAATAAGCAATTTTAGAATTCTGGATGTTTTAGAAAAATATAAACACCAGCCAACAATATGAGAACCAGTGACTATCATCAACAAGGCTCAGCTTTGAACAAAGACAGAATCAGGGCTGGGGAGATGGCTCAGTGGGCTAGAGCATTTTCCGTGCAAGCAAAGGGGCCTGAGTTCACATCCCAGCACCCACATAAAAGCCAGGCCCGGTGAGTGTGCCCTGGTGTTGGGAGCCAGAGACAAACAGAGCCCAGGAGCTCCTTGGCTAGCCTAGCCAGAATGGTGAGCCTCAAGTTCAGGGAGAAACGTTATCTCAAAAATGTAGAGTGACAGAAAGACACCTCATGTCCTCCTCTGGCCTCCACATGCACACTCACAGGGCACATGTGCACACACAAATGAAAAGCAATAATTTTAAAAGACAGAATCCTGAAGACAGAGAAAAATGGTCCATATGTATGATGAGCAGCTGCACGATCATCAGCAGATTCTCAGTAGAAACTTTGTAGGCCACAGGAAGTGGGAAGACACATCCAGAGTGCTGAGAGGAATAAAACCTGTCCACCAAGCTGTAGCTGGCATATCTTTCAAAAACCAAGTACGAATTAAGACTTTCCCAGATAACCAGTAGACCTTCCCTACAAAAAAATGCTGAAGGAACTCCAAGTTGAAACAGGACAGTAGACAACAACATGAAACTATACAAAATATAAGACTCTCCAGAAAAGTAAATGTGTGACTATAACCTGCATTATGGTGTGTGTGATTTAAACAACAAAAACATTCTTAAAAATCTCATAATTAGACCGGTGTGGCAGCACACACCTTTGTTCTCAGTGTTAGGGTCCGTGACTCAGTGGGTCTCTTCAGGAGAACAAATGCACAAGTATGGAGATGCAAAAATCAAGCAGAGTTTTATTAAGCCAGCTAGCTGGGGCCGACTGTCCTTCCAAGACACGCAGGTCTGGTTAGAGCGATCGACCCTGAGTCAATTTCAGGTAAAGATTATATAGGCTCCCACAACCATTACACAAAAGCCTGCATTTATACAACCAATAGTTTCAAAGCAAGCATTTCACAAACCAATAACTTCAAAACAAGAAAAATGTTACAACTCCCTTCAGGTGTCTCAACTGTGGAGGGATGGGTGGTATTGTGCCTGGCACGACTCTTTCCTGTTATCTTGTGTAAGCAGACCTGTCTACGTGACATGACACAGATCAGGTCAGGCTCCACGGGGGGAGGGCTGTAGCGATTGCCCCTATCTCCGGATGCCTGTGTCTCCAGTTGAGTTAATTGGTTACAAGCAGTAAATTTAAACAAGTAAATTCAAGCAGTAAATTCAGACAAGCAGTATATTCAAACAAGCAGTAAATTCCTCTCTCCCT